TGAGTCAAGTTTGTGTACCCAGATGTCCGTTGGTGTGAGTTCATCCACTGGAGCCTAGTCAATCAACCTATCTAGTGTCACCACCTTAAAGAATAGCAACAGTCCCCACCCAGAACTGATCAATTGCCAATAGTTCCTCTGGTAAGGTTGGGGCTTCACCTTGTTTATTTGAGACAAGGTCTCTTCCTGGTCTGAATCTTACCAAGTAGAGAGTGGCTGGTCAGTGAGCCTCAGAGATCTGCCTGTTTCCTTCTTATCACTAGGGTTACAAGCACACACCACTACACCTGACTTTTTTTTTAAATGTGAATTCTAGGGATCAATTCTCATGCTTATATGGTAAGCATTTTACTAACTGAGTTATCTCCCCAGTCCCTGCCAGTAGTTTTCACAGATATGTTTGAGCTCATTTGCTTCCATGCTATTTGTGGTCTACTATGACTTTGATAATATCTGTCTCAATCACCATTTGTCAAAACAAAAAAGACCTTATTCACTCTTTTATTCTATTATATAACAGCCTTCCACCTCTACCTATACTGATGCCTTTGATCATTTTTCTACTTTTATTGTGTCTTAAGGTATGGCCCCTACATGTCATATTCAATATTATATCTAAACTATTTATATAATAGTATTAATGAGTCAAATCTACTTTTGTTTGCCTTGAAAATTCTCAGTGCAAATAAAATTTTTTCTGAATTGAACAATATGTAAATGTGACATCTTCTGAAAATATTTTCTTATGCCTTTTTTGTACAGTTAAATCAGAGCACATCACATTGTAAGTTATATGTATAATTTCTCACCAGTTTACCACATTATCAACATTAAATGTGCCTAAGTGGCATAATTTACATGGCAAATTCAATTTTTACCATTTGATATAAAGCTATAAAACTTAAATATAATTGCTTTAAATAATGCCAAATTTTGATGTTAGGAGATAAAGTTGATAGATATATCCTGTATCTGTCTCAAAATTTATGTATTTTGGTTTTGATGCATAGTGTGGGGAAGATCTTGATTTGTACAGATAGCTGTAAATGAAATAAATTTAATAACTATCTTGTTAGTCATAGACCATTATTTAACTGATCTTGAATCTTAGTAGAAGACTAGTAGAAGACTTTTATTTCCAAGTTGAATCAATATATTATGTGCCAAGGGCTCATATTATAAATAGAATATAACAAAAAATCTAACATTCACAAGTACATAAAGGGCAATGCAACATATTAAGGTCTTCACTAGTTATTTTATAGCAAATTGTTATAATATGACAAAGACATAGTTTAACAGATTGTATTATAGGCTCAATTTGATGACACCAAAACTTAGACATATATGCCACAACATTATACTTGTTTCTCAAAGATTTAGATAAACAGAAATGTGAATATTATCAAAATACATTGGATATGTATAGGAAATCCTAAAAGAATTAATAAAAATACTGTATTGATAAATAAATCCATAGCTGTGAGTGATAGGAGCTCTGACCTTGCTGATCATTAAACTATCTGAAGGAATTCAATTTTTCACACAAATATGTCATTAGATTTATCCTGAGGTTTGAGCAAATAACTATGCTACCTGTTAATACAAGTTAATAAGTATGTGGCCATTATATACTAACATTATATACTAAATATATAACGTATTCATGTGTGTGTATAGTCCTTAATTTTATCACATCTTTTAAATATTTATTGTTATTATTACTAATTATTACATGTGTGCACACCCTCCCATGCATGCACATGCTACAGAAAGCATGTTTAGATAAGAAAACTTTATGGGATGGGTTGTCTCTTTCCACCCTTATATGGGTTTTGGGGGATGAAACTCATGTTGCCAGGCTTGTGCAGTAAGCACTGTTACCCACTGAGCCATCTTGTCAGCCCTATTGTAGCTTTAAAATTAGTTAAAAATATTTTAATAAGTTTGAAATTAAGGAATGGCATAACATCTGATGACTTCTACATCTTAGGCTTCTTGAGAATACAGTTTTATTTTATTTTTTTATTGGATTTTTTGTGTATTTCATACAGAACATCTCAAACAATCTTAATCATTTTTATGCCCCATCCCCCACCAGCACCCTCCCGTAGACCCCCACGCCCCCACTGGAGCCGATATACTCTGTCATCCCTGTCAAGGCCCACTGTGTCAGGTCAGTGTCCCCAGCCATTCCCCAGTGCAAATCCCCTCATGGAACATATAATAGGGATAAAGAAGAGGACATTAATGAATCTCTCAGTTCTCAATAATGAAGCTCCCTCATGCAGTGGAGGGCCAGGAACACAAAAGATCACAAATGGCCAAAGTGTAGAAATCAAGAGTCTGCTGAATGGTGGTCCTTGGACAGAATCCCTTTATTAAACTTCACCCATCCAAGGCTCAGGGACCATCATGGAAGAGGGGGTAGAAAGATTGTAAGACCCAGGGGGGAGGTGCATGACCATATGTGAACAGAGTCCTGCAAGCTCCTGGGAGCCTGCTCATATGAGAATACAGTTTTAAAACTATTCAGAATATGCATATTATCCTCATGTATTGCTTTTATCAGATATGTTGATTTCATGGAAAAAAAATCCAAATTATTTTGTCAAGAATTTTTTTTCTTTACAAAATCCTTCCTTACAACCAATAGGTTATAATAATGCTTTCTGTTGATTGTGTTTTATATTTTTCGACAGTTTTCATAAATTTTCTCAGTAAGGAGGTTAAACTTGCTTATTTGTTGTTCTTTAGAGTCCACTAATTAACGTTAGTGATAGGTTGGTAACTATTTTATTGACAGTAGAATGGTACTTTGGTAGAATGATAAAAAATCAAGGTAAGCTGTACCTTTGTAAAAGGAAATCTATTTGCTTTCTCACCTGTTTTTTTATTATTATTGGATAGACAGCATCCCAGTTAATGTAATTATAAATAATTTATCATTTGGAGCATTAAAAATCATCCCCAATGGAATTAGTCTATCTAACCTTTTTTTATAAACCAATTTGAGAGTAAAAGACAAAAGTCCCCAATATTAAGTATTGACTTATAGAATTTGCCTAGTTTGTTCACACTTTTTCATCCCTGACTATATCCCTTTCACTATGGTCTTTTAAGTGACCCTGTCACTTTCTTATATGCTATATATATTGTGACCAAAGCCATAAGTCAGGGCAGACTATGTTACATTACTTGTGATGCTGTATGGGTTTTGTGGGGAATTCCTGGTATGTAGGTGCATGTCTCTAGTTCCAGTATTCAGGAGGCTGGAGCAAACATATTTCTATGAGTTCAAGATCAACCCAGGGCAACATAGTGAGACCCTGTCTCAAAACAAACAAGCAAATAAACAAAAAGATTGCCCTCAAGATTACTAAAATTGTAGCTGTTAGTAACTTATAAATTTAAATATAAAGCAATATAATTCTATAATGTTGAGGATAAATTAGTGTTTCAGAATAAATTTTGCTAAAATGCATGTGAATGTTAAATATGTATATGACCACAAGCTTATACTTTTTCTTGTTCAGTGGATGAATTTTACATGCATTGCCAGTGAAATGGTAGACTTGTTTATAGATTCCTCTTTGTGTGATTTATTACTTGTGTCATAACAGACATTGCTGTTTTTTGTAAGAAAATAAATTTCCATTTGTGACAAATCCATATGATGACCATACTTAGCCGAGTTCATTAGCTTTATCTTTTTAATTCAAATCTTTTGGGTAATCTTGAATGTATAAGTTTTTCACAATGGTATATTCATTTGATTATAGCAGTATAACACAGAAGTCAAAGTTAATATGATGAGATTTTAGTAATGCTGGTAAGTACAAGCTCCACAAATATAGTTGAGTCATCATCAACATTTGAATTAAAGCTGTTGATTCAAAGAAAAGCTCTCTTATAGCTTTAGTTAAATGAAAGGGAGTATGTTTTTACTATTGCTTCCTAGTGTTATTGATTGAGGAAAGAAAAAACTAGGGGCAAAAGATGAGCCAGATTCATGAACAGTGACAAAGTGATCTAAATCTAATGCAACTGGAGGTTTAAGAGTCTGAATACAGGAAGTACTTATCCAGTGTTTCTTGCATAATCTATTTAGACTATTCTGACTTTTGAGTGCCCCATTCATTCTCTTGGGGCACTTGATAAATAAACCTTCTAAAACCTTTTGTGGTAAACCGTGATCACATTGTATGGTTTTCAACAATTGAAAGGTTTGTTGGGTTTTTATGCTGTCTGTTAAGAAAAATATTCATTAGTTCATACATAGCAGAATTAGTCTATCTCTTTACTTGTGAACTGCAGTTAGGACAACCTCCTATTTGAGCTTGAATCTTGTTACCCCAAGTTTTTTTTATAAGCTGAGTGAAGGCAAACCAGTGAATGATCCTGAACATTTAGACTGAGAATGCTTTCTGCAATTTTATAGCTCCAATCTCTATTTCAGGTTTGACAAAGCATTTCTATCACTATTCAAGGTTTATTTGGTGTTTTAGTTGGCATGACACTTGGTAGCATTATCCATATGCATATTTCACTCTACATTCTATTGCATTGTACACTGATACATAAATAATACACAAAATAAGATCCTTTAGAACAGTTATGCACATGACATGCTGTAATGGATTTATACACTGGATCCCAGGATGTGACTAATTGGAAAAAATTTGACTAGGCATGTTTGATGAAGTTATATAGCCCACAGTAACACATCCAGTTTGAAGGGAACTGGAGGATATACAAAATTGGCAGTGGTGTCTCAGATGGTAGAACTATTTCACACTAACCAGTTTACAAACTACACAAGTACCATTTAGCATCAGGATATAGCTGTGGAGGGGTCTATCTTTAGGAAATTGATGTTTTCCTGCCCCTTCTTAATACAACTGCATTAATCACAGCTCAGATGAAAAGGAAAACATATACAATCTCCAGCAGAAAACGTGCTGCAGCCCAGACAGTGAAGGCTGCAACACTAGCAGACTTTAAAGCTGCAGCTCTTTCTGAATTCTCCAGACGGTATCTGTGCACTTCCTCAGGCGGGCCTCTTGTTCTGGGATCAGAGTCATCTTCACAATGTCTAAGATCCCATTCTGTCCCAGGATGCAGGTACACTAAGGTAGACAGCATCCTTTATTCCTTAGAGACCTTTAATCATGGCCGCAGTTCGATGCACCTGCCTAAGATTCTCAATTATACCTCTGCAAGATCTGCCACAGAGTCCAGTGGCCCAGGACATATAACCTTTCAGTTTGATCACCTCAAAGGCACTGTCAGCCACCTGTTTGTGAACCTCCTTCCACTACTCCTTATCTGCATCAGTGCCCAATTCTGGGTTCAGATTCTTCAGGGAGATACCAGCAACATTCATGCCACTCCACAGAGGCACACTCGAGTCCCTATGCTCCCCAAGGGTCCACCAGTGACAGCCCAGTGGATGAATGCTCAGGTAATGGAACCAGGCTGAATCCAGATTGCAACTACTTCCAAAAACTCAGTTTTTGGGAAAACCATTTATCTTCCAAGCCACATAAAACAGGATATCCATTGGATTCAAAACAACAAACAACTTGCAATTTGGACTGTACTTCATAACATTAGGGAGGATGAACTTGAAGATTTCATATTACGCTAGACCAAATTGAGACAGCTCTCCTCCTCCTGTTGCCATGCTCCAGCTCTGATGATAACCAGCTTGGAGTTCACAGTCACACTCTAGTCTTTCCCAGAGACAATTTTTGGTGTTTTAAGGAAAAGGCTGCCATGCTGGAGATCCGTCATCTCTCCCTTCAGTCTGTCTTCCATGACATCAACAAGAGCAAGTTCATCTGTCAAGTCTTTCATTAAGATACTGATGGCACAGACCATGCCAACAGGACCAACCCCAACAACTGTAATTTTATTCTGTGGGACCTGTTCTTCCTTAAGAAGACTCACAATTAGCTGATCCTTGAGGTTTGCCATCCTGGACTTGGAACCAAAGGGACTGGAAGTGAATGATGGGCAGTGTCCAGGAGCATGGCAGCAGGGTCCAGACTCGGAGGCAGTGGCTCCAGCACTGCTTGACAAACATTTTTGTAGAGGGCCAGGGAGGAAATCATTTGGGTTTTGTTGGTATATGTTCCTATCACAAATACTCAACTCTGCTGATATACTTAGTAAGTTGCCATAGACAGTATAGAAATAATTATGTCTATGTTGTAGTAACACTGTGTTTACAAAAATAGGCAGCAATATTTCTTCAAAGAATATATACAGATGTTCAACAAACATATGAAAAGATGTTCAGCATCGTTAGTCATTAGGGAAATGAAAATGAAAATTATTTCATGCCCTACTAGGATACATATAATTTAAGAAAAATGGAAAATAGCAAGTATCAAGGATTCACATAAATTGGAACTCTCATATATTACTGACATTATAATGTAAAACCTCCAGTGTTGGAGTTTCTCAAAAGGTTAAGCATGGGATCAACCATATGGTCCAACAATTTCACTCTTAGGTATAGACCCCTAAATACTGAAAACAGATATTCAAATAAATAATTGAACAAAAGTGTTCATAGCAGTGTTGTTCACAATAGCCAAAAGATGGAAACACTCCAAATGTTCAACACAAAATAAGTGGATGATGAAATTGTGGCATGCTCATACGAAAGAGTATTACTTGGTTTTAAAAGGGAATGTAGAACCAATATATATTATGACATGTATAAACCCCAATGCTATGCCAAGTGACAGAAGTCAGACACATAAGATACAATTACCTTTGTATGAAACATCTAGGATAGATAAATCCTTGAAGACAGCAGATTAGTGAATTCTAGACACTGGAGTGGATGAGGACTAAGAGTACGGAATGGATGAAGTTCCCTTCATGAAGTGTCCTGGGAGAATGATGAAAACATTTGGAATTAAATGTAGGTGATGAGTATGTAACATTATGAATATACTAAATGCAACAGAATTGTACAATTAAATGGAATTAATTTCATGTTATGTGAACTTTACCTCAAAATAAAATGGACAGTTATCCTGACTGGCCTAGTTTACTGCCTTCTCTATTTAATACTTTAATGCCTTTAATCTTATTTCTTTCTGAGATTTCTCTGTCTCTGATATCATCAGGGTTGCTACAGAGTATTTCCAAAGTAGTAGAAAGAACTTATATGGCCATAGTGCAGTATGACTGCCAAGAACTGATAAAACATAGAATGGTCAATGTTTCTTCTAGGACTTTGTCAGTCACTTTATTATTTATGGTTTAAAGACACAAACAAAACTTGTGGCTACTTGTCTTATCAAAAAATTAGGTATCTATCTGTGTATGATTATACATGTATATATAAATGTATTGCTGCATTGGTTAAAAATAATTCTTTATCCGAATTCTTAGCCCTTATAACACTTTTGCTTGGGATTTGGGGAGGGGGTTCTTTTTTTTATTTCTCTGTGTGTCAAGTTGACAAGGGGTCAGTTGTTGGGGCTGGAGAGATGGCTCAGTGGTTAAGAACACTGGTTGTTCTTGCAAAAGACCCAGGTTCGAATCCCAGCACCCACAGGGCAGCTAGCAACTGTTTGTAACTACAGTCCCAGGGGATCCGACAAGGGGTCAGTTGTACTAGCTAGTTTTTGTCAACAATAGAAACCAGAATTATCTGGAAAGTGGCAACCTCAGTTGAGGAATTACGCCCATCAGATTGGCCTGTGGACATTTCTCTGGGGGCATTTTCTTTTTTCTTTCCTTAAATAATATTTTTTTATTCTTTCATAATTTCATACAACAGATTTCAATCATATCCAAACACTTTCCTACTTCCCTTTTCAGACCCACTCCCACCAGTTCCTGTATCTCTATTTTTTAAAGGCCAGTTGAATCTAATTTGTGTTCCTCAAATACTTGGTTGTACATCCAGCTCTTGGAGCATGGTCAACCTACTCAACAACTCACCATTAAAGAAAATTGAATCTCCCTCTCTCAGCTGTTATCAGTTGCCAATAATTCCTCAGCTAGGGCTGGGGCTTTGGGTCCACCTCTCCCTTCCATGCTGTGGTTTGCCTGGCTTGGGTTTGCACAGGTCTTGTGCATGCTGTCACAACTGCCATGTTGTGCCTGGGTAACACTGTTTCCTTGTATTCAACTACCATCTCTTGCTCTTAAAATCATTCTACCTCCTTTTCCTCAATGTTCTCTAATCCTTTGGGGGATGTGTGTGATATAGGCATCCCACTTAGGTTCAGCACTCCACAATCTCTTGTTCTCTGCATGTTGACCAGTTGTGGGTTCCTGTGGTTTTTTTTTTTTTTTTTTTTTTTTTTTTCTTCATCATGTGAACATGTTTGAATCATTTTCAGTGATTCAAATGTCAATTCCAAACTCAGTGAACTCTCCTACTCTCCTTCAGGGCAGAGCCCTGGAGCTGCAGCAGAGGTTGGATGGGAGGTCTTGGTCAGGTAGACTAGGTTGAGTCACCTAGGAACTCCAAAAAACACACATCTGGTGTGCCGTGGGAGTGTGTCTGGTCACGACTGGTGTATAGGTCAGTGAACTGAACTGGGAGGACAGGCCCTGAACATGAGTGGTACCATCTCCTGGGGCTGATGGGGGAAGCTCAGATGTGTGCATGCTCAATTCTCCTCGGCAAGTGCCTGTGGTTTTTTTTTTTTTTTTTTTTTTACCATCTGCTGCAAGAAGAAGCTTCTCTGATGAGAGTTGAAAGATGCACTAATCTATGCATATAACCATAAGTCATTAGTAACCAGTTTAATACTATTTTCATTTAGTACAATAATAATGGTAGGTTTCCCTCCGTGGACTGTGACTACCTAGCTAAAGGTTCTTGGCCCCAATAACAATGCCAGGTATGGGTTCTATCTTGTGAAGTGGGCCTTCAATCCAATGAGAAAGAAGTTAGGTATTCCCATAACATTCATGCCACTATATTGCAACAGTGAACATGTCTTATGACACCAGTCACTATTGTAGCTTGCAGGGCTCACAGCTGGATAAGATTGATGATTAGTTTTCTCTTCCATTAGCATGCATAGCACCTTCCATGGTTATGAAAACTAACCAGTAGCAATGAAACTTTAAGGTCAGCACCAACCTAATTTCTACTCATTTGTTCTACAACTCGTGTATGTACTGTCCTCAGCAATAAGGTCTTGTCATCAAATTCTGGAGAGTAAACAAGAGTTATGATAATAGCCAGTATTGTTTGAGCATCTATGGCATCCAACCCCCCGACCCCATCAACAATTCTGAAAGAGGTAGCCTATTCCCAGCGTTGTGTTTTTTATTTCCTAGCCTGTGGTGTCTGCTAGGGGTACTGTCCTTCCATTATGGATAACTCCATATAAACTATATTAATATATGTGTATTTTTTGGGAATCTTCAACAGTAATAGGTTTCCATATGACTATTTCAAAAAGCCTTTAGTGTTAGTTATTCTGGTGTACCTGCCTTTATATGTGATTTGTTCTTTCTGTCTTGCACCTTCCAGTATCCTTTCTTTGTTTTATATATTTAGTGTTTTGATCATTATGTGACGTGGGGTCTTCTATATGCTTCTTGCATTGGGATAGGCAGCTCTTTCCTTAGATTTGGGAAATTTTCTTCTATGATTTAGTTGAAAATATCTTCTTTGCCTTGGACCTGGGTTTCTTCTTCTATACCTATGATTTGTAGGTTTGGTCTTTTCATAATATCCTAGAGTTCTACGTGTTCCATTCCTTACTTTTTTTAGGTTTAACATTTATTTGACTGAGTGATCTAATTCTTTTACCTTGTCTTCAAGATTTGATAGTCTCTCTTCCACTTGATCATTCCATTGGTGAGAATTTCCACTGAGTTTTTTATTTCGCTAAGTTTCTCATTTCAAGTTTTATTTTAGTTTCACTTTTCTTCAGAAATTCTATTTCTTTTTTTTCTTTAAGATTTTTATTGAGTTTTTGTGCATTTCGTACAATAGCTCTTAATCAAATTTAGACCCACCCCTACCTGTGTTCCCCCACAGCTTCCCCCTAAATTCTATCTTCATAGGTTGTTTTCTTTATTTTATTTAGCTGTTTGTGTTTTCAGAGTCTTCGTTATGGAATTTGTGCATGTCCTCTTTGAGTTCCTTTAACATATTTACGATGGCTATTTTGAAATCATTGTCTTATGCATCAACTAAGCTGCTTTTCTCAGGGGTCATTGTGGACTCATGTCCTCATTTCTGGAGGAAATATCTTGGTTATTCATGGTGCTTACATTTTGCAGATAAAACCTATGCATGTAAATTTAAGTAATTGGTGGTGTTTCTTGGTATGGATATCTAATCTCCCCTTTGTTTGACAAGTGTTCAGAGTTTTTTGTTTGTTTGTTTGTTTGTTTTTGCAGTTGTTTCAACTTGTCAGGTTATGTACCAGCTGAATGGAACTTGGTATTTGTTCTTATGGTAAGTATGTGTTGATGTGGGAATGGAGTGTCAGTTATGCTCCTCGCACAGCTGGGGATATCTGCACTTTTGAGCCCAGGAATAAACCTTTTGTAGAGTTTGAAGCTTCTCATTGCTAGTCTTCAGAAGTCTGTGGAAGGCTCTACAGGTCATCTTTGAGTGGCATGGGTTCTGGTCACAGTGGGAGTGAGCAGTGGTTCTGGGGGTGGGGGCAGGAGAAGGACAGCACATTCACCTCAGATGGTATTGGGTGGGGTGGAGGTTGGCTTGGAGGTTTCTACCTGGGGTCCTGGTTATAGCACCTCATGGGTCCCTGGGCACTGCTGTGGGGGGCGGTGATTGGTGTGTGTGGTGGGGAAATAGGTTGTGGAAGTTGCTATCTGTCAGAGTCATCTGAGGTGCTTACCGAAAGTTGAGGGTCACAAGGAGCCACTCACAGGGTCCTGTTGGCAGTGGGGGAGGGGAGAAGTGTCATTGTCTGGACTCAGGGTGAGGCTAGGGGCTGTGTATCTACCTGTGATTCTAGCAGTGTAGAGGG